TGTCACAAGTACATAACTGAAGAAGAGGTTTGATCAAATATTTTCTATGAGATCTTCTTGTCCTACAGTAAATGAGTAGTCTTTTTAGAATTTAAAAATTAAGAACTATGAACATTTTGTTTTTATATTTGGGAGTGTATTCATTTATTTCTTGTTCTAATTTACTATATGAGTTTAGTGTATGATTTTTTCACATTTGTGTAAATGGTGTCAACTAATTATGATTATGAAATTGTACAGTCCAAATTGTTTAACTTAAAAAGACTTCTTGTTTATAAAGTGTATAGATATAATTCGTTCCAGTAAGCTCATATCTTAGTTAATATCTCATGATCATGCTCGTACATAATATAATTTTCTTTAAAAAAAATAAATTATTTTAATTTGTACAGAATGTGTTTTGTTGTTTTGATACAATTCTTTCATTTTCTTTAATTGCTATGCGTCCGAGCCGCCACCGCTTATTATATGGATGATGACGGGAATGATGTCTGAAATTAATATAGAGCTTTCATTTGGGGAATCTCAGTCTCGAAAATTTTGCAACTCTCAGATGATTGGTTAGCATTTTCGAGACATTTTTCAGTTTCTGGAATATCGAGACTTGAGACTCACTTTTGGAACTCACATAATTAAACAGTACTTATTAAAAATATAATAAGCTAGCAGCCATGTATTAGACTGGTTACATGGATATCAACCCTGTAGAGCATAAGGTGTAAAACTAAAACTAAACTTTCATAGATTTCTCATAGATGGCGCTACGACTAAATAATTATTTAATTCTATTTATAAATTAAACTATAGTATAGCTCTGTGTCTTTCATAAAATTATTAACCATCAAAATTTTTAAGTATATAACACTAGCCTGAAAACTTAGTCATTCACAGAGCTAGTGGGGGAGAAAAATTCCCAGTAGTACTGTCTTGGAGGATGGAAGAACTCGTGGGAGTAATCGATTTTTTTTTCTCTGATGGTTTCCATCCGAACACAATGAGCAAATGATGTACACATACATCCTCAGGAATTCCCATAGATATAGAAAAAAAGGGGAATTCCACAAACTGCAATTTGTTGAGTTCACACTCGATATCAAAAACAAAAAGTTATTTAATGGAACAAATCGATAAAATATCACTTACATCAAAGCATTGAGAAAAGGAACAATAAAACTAGTTAAAAAAAAATATATTCAGATTCAATATTAAACTATTTTATTGCTTAGGTTTCTGTAGTACATGAATATAGAATCCTGGATCAGGATGCAACTCGAGAGGCTTGAAATCGCCGTAGATTTTGTGCTCCACATGTCCTCCGAAGGCCTCGTCCAGCATCTCGGTGAACTTGTCTAATGTATGCGGATAGTAGCAGAGGCGGAACTCACTGGAAACAAGGAATTTATTCATATAATAATTGTACCTGTAGAATTAGTTAATATATGGTAATAGGTATCAATACTGTACGAACATACGTACAGTCGAACATTATAACCTCCTCCTTTTTTTTTGAAGTCGGTTAAAAAACAGTCATCTGTGACCGCCATGCAATCTAAACAGCCTAAAACGTTGCTTTGTTTGAAAAAAAAAAACAAATATACGCGGTTTAGATATGAAGAAATGTTTCATTTCCATTGTTATAAATCGCCAAAACTTAAAAAACTAAGAATATAATACATAATTATGAAAGTTACGTAATTTTCAACAGTGCCTAGTGGTTATCTACTAGCAAAAATAAGTATGTGGTTAGCACGTCTACAAAATTGGACGGAAAGATGTATTAGTAAGGCTCCAATTGTCCCACATTCAATAATAAATCAAACCATCGTTAATTAAAATTAAATATTATTATAGGATCATGACCACGACTAAAAAAACTCGTAAATTAAATTTAGTTTTCGGTACAAGGCCGAGTAACTTTGCCGCTTGCATTTAAATAACCATGTCTACGAGCGACCTGTGCGCCAATATTACAGCAAATTGTGATGACTGATGAGTTTATCTTTGTCGTAATCATTGAACATTTCTCCGATTGGAAAAAATAATAAAAAGCTAAGAATTGTCGTATTTACAATTTTTTTTTAAACAAAGCAAAGTTTTGGTTCTATATAAAATTTAATTAAGATTTCCGATTCCATTTGGTATAATATTCTCAAGTAAATATATAGAAGAAAATTTATAGGTACTACCATCATTGTTCTACACTACGAAATTGCTCCTTGGCGTCTTGGGATTTAATTCTTTAGAAGTAAGACGGCCACGCATTCATCATCTGCTGGCAGTGCCGGGCCGCGGCGCGGCGGTGCGCACTGAGTCTCACAGTAAATCACCGCTTGTTCGCGCTCTATTGCGCTTCTGATTTCTGCACCAGACAGTGACGTTTTTGCAAGTTCATGGGTGGCTGTGTGTGATGAATATTTAAGGTTTTGTAAGAGGATGAATGAACGTCTGTCTTCACAAATTATTAATACAAATTGTCTATTTATGAATTTCACAGTGCCTGGGTATTTTGCTGTAATGCTGTGTAATTTTATGAAGTAAATAAATATAAAAGCTATATACTAACGATTTTTCGTTGAATTCGGCGTCGGCAGTGGCGTCAATGCAGTAGTCGAGGGCGATCAGCTGGGGTTTGCCTGCCACCACTAGCACCGACGTCTTTATATCCACCGGATACATAGTCTGCAATCAATTGTCATTAGATATTATCAAGGTGGTCATAACAAAGACAAAATAATATATGTCCACAGAGTTGGAGCGGTATACTTAGCAATACTTTTATTTTAAATCCTGTTGAGGCGGTAGGTACTCGTATATTACAATCATGTTTTCATACAAAAGTTTTTACACACTTGTGTCCAAATTTAAGAATTTTGTAGGCACTAACAATGTTAATGTGGTATGATTAACGGTAGACTTTCATTTACGGTAATATAAAAATACAACTCCATTAAATTACTTTATGACGTCAATACAATTTTTATACGTATAAACTCTTTATAATCATATATAAGTAAGTAATATGTACATATATACTATGTAATGAGCTCAAAAACATTACTTATACGACAAAAAAACGGTAATGTTTGAATACAATCGAGCAAAAACTTTGTGATTAAAAACTAAAATCTGGTATTATGGCTTAGACGCCTAACCTGTCCCATACAATTTACTGAAAAGCTTTGTTATTAAAACAGGTATCGCATGTACAGCCTAGACAGGAGCGCCGATAATAAACGCCGGTTGGCGGCACACCGACAAAAAAGTGTCGGCGGCGGCGGCGTTTCGGCGGCGCGAGCGCGACCTTAAAACGAATTTGTATATCGGTGTTTGTTTTTACAAAAACCGCAATAGAAATACTTTTTGAAAGGAAAAAAATACCATACTTATTTTCTATAGTAATCAAATTTTTATCAGTTCGATCAGGCGCTCCGAACGTACGCACGCGCTCGTTTCCATATTGTGTATGCGTAGTGAAAATGGCGACGCCAGAAATTGACAAATGAATTTTTTAAACAAAAGATCTTTAAATATAAACTCATTAACTAATTTTTGTCGCCTATCTATGTCACTTCTGCTGAGGCCGGATGGCTCGCTGGCCTTCATTGCAGCAGACAAGGCAAATCTTTTTGCCTCACTCTTTGCAAAGAGTTCGCGTCGGGATCTAATCTTACCTCAGGCTGGCTGCACTATGGCGCCAATTCGCATACGCCAAAAAGGTACTTAGAACTCTGCGGAATCTAGATGTGAATAAAGCTAGCGGGCCAGATGGAATTCCAGCACTAGTCCTACGTAACTGTGCGCCTGAGTTGTCTCCTGTTCTCACACGCCTACGCCTGTACCGCCTCTCACTTGAGACTGGTGTAGTTCCCAGGTCGTGGAAGCTTGAAAACGTGCAACCTGTGCTGAAAAAAAAGCAGAACTGACTCTGTCAAACTATAGACCTATCTCAGTCACTTCCATACTCTGCAAGACTATTGACCGTGTACTCAACAACCGTCTTTTGTCGCACCTTGAAGACAACGACCTCCTCAGTGATCGCTAGTACGAATTCCGAAGACGGCGATCAACTGGGGATCTTCTTGTCACATATGGGGCGTGGCTATAGAAAAGCAAGGTGAAGCTCTTGCAGTGTCTTTGGATATTTCTAAAGCCTTTGACAGTATCTGGCACGCAAACCTTTTAAGTAAGCTTTCTTTTTTATGGGCTTCCCACTTTGCAATTGGATCTCGGATTTCTTGAGCGAACGTTCGATTCGAGAGGTCTTAGAAGGCCATTCTTCCGAACATATGGCGATAGATTCCTCTTGGTTTCCAGGAAGCTTGAGATTCTTTCCAGGGTGAGGCGTTCCATCACACCGGGACAAGCACCATATCTTTTTACGTTAGTCCTACCTACCCTTAGGGCATACGAGAAGGAAACTATAACCTGTGCGCGCACAGGAACCTTACAAGTTCAGGTTCTGACTCCAGATCAGCCAGTGTACAGGGTTCTGACATACCTCTGCCACTCGACTTCATCCAGTTCTTCGAGAGGCTAGTGCCAGGTGAGCTGCCCCGGGTGCACGTACAATACCCTCCCTATTGTCCAGATAGGTACCTGTAGGCTCGCTCAATTCCTGTTGCGCATTGCACAACTAGCAGTTGCCACCGTTAAGCCGTCGACTTTGTGTCCACTACCAAATCTCCTCATTGGTGGCAGAGCTGTAAGGCACGCTCGCTTTACGACGCCGAAAAACGACGTCTCTCCAGTTCCCAATAACCTAAGCGGCTGGAGGGACCGAACGATATCTAGCTTATCCTCTACTAGCTCTCCGGGCTAGTGCCGGAGATGCCAGTCGCAGTGTCCTACGACAATGTCCGGACATAGCTTCCAATTTAAAGGGCACAGGGCTCACGTGCTCCGCGCGTCTCCTCGCATACAGGCCCTCAACTAGACCGCTACTAAGACGCGCTAGCTGCTCACGAGACAGACGCCCCGGACACTTGCAACCGGGGCATACAAACATGTCCGTCTCTGCAGCTAACCACAAACCCCAGCGAGTCCATACCCATGACCGGGTCCGCCAGAGACGCCCGCGAAGGCGTATCACTGGCGGAGGGCTTGGCCCGGACGCCCGCAGCACCCTGATCTTGCCGTCGAGCCCGTAGTCTCTCCAGAAAACCCTATCTCTAGGGTCAGTAGATAGGGACACACACACCGGGACAGTTGCTTCAGCTGTACCAAGCACAAATCCGATCGTACATGGAGTACTGCTGCCACCTTTAGGAAGGCTGTGCTACATACCAACTGGCCACCTTGGATTCAATTGACAACCGTGCCAAGAAGCTTATAGGTGACTCGGAATTAGTGGAGGCGAAGCTGCAGAGCCTTAAACACCGCCGTAAATTTGTCAGCTTATCGGAATTTTACAGGATATGTCACGGAGAGTGTGCGATGGAATTACACGATTTTTATTCCGGTTTCCCCTTTCCATCACCGAGGGACTAGGCGTAGACTTGGGTTCCACTTCTATGTTGTGTGTGTGTGTGTCACATTCCAAAGATTCGCACGAAGCGTTACGGTTCCACATTTATATGGCGAACGGCTATGGAGTGGAATTACCTGCCTGCAGACATGTTCCCTAAACGTTATAACTTAGGCCTTTTCATGGCGAAAGTGAATAGACATTCATCCATCGTCGACCTCATCGTCACTTTCCATTAGGTGAGATGGAGGTCATATGCGAACTTACATTAAAAAAAAGTTTTATCTTAGAAAAGTCATTTTATGACGTCGCCATTTTCACATACACAATACGGAAGCATGCGCGTGCGTACAATCAGAGCGCCTGATCGAACTGAACGGCGCCGGCGCGGCGCGCCGATTGCATTTGTTAGTGGCGGCGGCGCGCCGGCGCGGCGCGGCGCTCATGTCTAGTACAGCCTAGAGATGAAACGGATAGTAATTTAGCCGGATGCCAGATATCCGGCGGGCATCTAGACCTGATAGTCGGATATTTGATCCACTGCCTTAAATATGTTGCGACCGATTTACGGCGCGCATCGCCGTGATTGATTGATTAGTGAATTATTGCACTTTCACATTGACGATTTGTTTTGTTGTGATCACTTGGTTTTTATAAAAACGATAAATTTATTCGGTAATACAAACAAATACATAACAGAAAAATATTAAAATAAAATATTAGTGAAAATAATCGCAAATTTGGCACATGCACATTTCGCGCGGTGGAGAATGTAAAAAGGAATTACATCATCCTTTGGCTAAAATTATTAATTTTTATAAGTATAAGCCTAGTACATAGGTTCCTAAACCTTTTGGCTCACTGCCCACTTAGGAAAGATAAAAAAATTTCAACGCCCACCGCCACAAAAAAATATTGAAAACACGTATTTTTTAAATTAACATGACACGAAAAATCAGAAGGAAAAAAAAAGAGATTTCTATAGATGATTCGGGTTTTTTTTTTTCAAATGCGGTAGTACCCCCTGGGGAGCATGAACCCCCCAATTGCTTCCAAGGCCTCTACCGCGCTAGGAATCTTCAGCGTGTAGAGCGCTGGTGGAGTTCTGGTGGATTGTAATGTACGATTGCAATCCACATTTCACATTAGTGAAAGCGTGTGTCGCTGCTGATACCGCTTGGAATGTTCAGTAGACCGTAGATCTTGCTTAGTGAGTTTGGTAGTTTAAGTGGAAATAAATCTGGTTTAAAAAAAATTTTATTATTTTAAAGTATATTTTAAAGTCTGTCGCGGTTGGGTAGGGAGTGACCGTCGAAAGAAATAAAATCAGAATGCGAAAGAAAATGGAACAATTCAAAATTTTAAATTTAAATATGAGTAGAAGAAGAAAAACGATACGATACGAATGGAGAGAACGATGCCAAAAGGTGGGATAACGATATAAGCAGGTCACACCGTCACGAGCGCCCACACTGGTAGAGACCACTTTGGGAAACTATGGCCTAGCACTTGATTCATCCGTAATTATGTTGTTTCAATTTGATTTCATCAATTTGCTTGTGATCTAACTAATTCTGAGTCTTGATACCAAATTTGCCAATAACAAATATTTTAATCTACTTACACGTTTCATTATTATAAGTACACATTGTATTTGAAGATAGTTCAAATCGATCGTGATTACAATTTTCATCTATTCGTCTTATGCGTTCTAATTCGTTTAGCAGTGTGCAAGAGTGTATAGTGAAAAACTGTCCTCTGAAGCGTCTCGATTATGAAAATAAATAAAACCAATGTTTCCCACTTAATACAGAAAAACTGAAACTGGTCTTCATCCACCATAATTTCCCTTTTTTTTTTCTTTTTTTTTTTTTATTGCGACTCGACAAAATGACTGTACCGCGCCTGATGGAAAGTGCGAATACAGTCCAGAGATGAGAGTAACGGATGGAAAACACAAATATCTTCACTCCGTCACTATCATTTTGCCGGTCTGGCCAAATGCACTGGATGTACACCAACTGATCCCTGAACGCGATTCGCAAAAGCGTTTCACTGTGGAGGGTTTTCCGCCGTGTGTACTGTGGTCGCTATCCAGTCGGCACAGAGCCTACCACAATGCTAAGCAGATGGACACTTGAGACGCCCTCGGTCGCCTCTTACGACCCCCACGGGCATGTATGGGGAGGCGACAATGTATTCTTAAGCCGTCGCCCCACGGCTACAAATTTTATTTACTACTAATTTTATTTACTAGCCTTTATTGGAATTTGAGTACTAAATTTACAGATAACGTTATCTTCATAGTTCTTTCAGTTACAAGTAATAAACAGATTGTTAACGATCATGTAGTTGCTGTTTATCCTATTACTATCAATTTTTTATCAATAATTAAATTTATTTGATAATGAACTTTCTCAGTTTTAAAGATCTAAACAAAAAGATCTAAAGAGAAGGATAGTAAAAAATAGGTCGGATACCGGAAGTTACCGGATATCCGTTTCATCTCTAGTACAGAAAATTCGTCAATAATTTATTTGCAGAATTTGGTAGTGCCTCTAAAAATCTCGGTTCCCTACCATTACCAGGAGCCGAGACCTAGAGCAGGTCCCTTGCAATTTGAGTCTTAACACACTGTACCTGTGCTGTGTTGTACGGTGTTACCTACACCATTAAAATCTACACAAGGCGTAGGTATAGTCGCTTTTCCAGCTTATGAACCTACGAACATGAAACATTGAATGTTGATAAGAATTTGTAGATAATTACTTTGTTTGCCTTTACCGATTACACACGTATCTTTTGCTCTGCCTATCATTAATTTTGTTTACTTTTGCTCACACTTAAATCGACTGTCGCCAGGCACTCTGCAAAACACTACATTTTACACATATAATTTTACATAAGAAACTTGAGAAAAAAGAGAAACTTGAAAAGAAAATTTGAGATTATCAAATTGCTGTATTAAATTGTTCCCGGCCTGTTACAATATTTTAAGTTTGGACACATATGTAATAATAAATTCCACGTATCGCTTATTTTCGTCATCTTGAAGCTACTAAACACAACCTATGGAACTGTTAGGCAAACGTTACTAAACCTAAAATAACTGTTACCGTTAAAAGCTGCACAAAAGGGTATGTACTGGTATTTACTGTGTAACAGTGTTGTCAACTTCCATTTTAACGCTCGATAGTGAATTTCCCGTATAACGGTTTTATCATTATTAGGCTTAGCCCCTTTTTTAGATTTTTAACAAGGGAACCTGAAAAGTATGTTGTTATTTTATAATACATAATTATGTATATGTACAACTTGGTGCAACTCAATGGCTGGAGTTAAACAAACTGGTTGTTATTGGTAGTCCGAGGTTGATAATAGGGCCTGTTTATTTGGTTAATTTATTCTAAATATACGTATTATCTTAGCCGATTTCGGCTACAGCGAATACTATTGTTTAGAATGAGAGATACGGTTGTAAAACCGTATAACGGTGTTTTAATTAACTCTAGTCAAATTCTAACCTAGAGTTTATGATGAAGCAGTTACACAATCAAACCATTTTGCGTCCCACCTGGGCACGGGTCTCAGGCGAGGGTTTAGCCCATAATCCACTACACTGGGTCAATACGGTTTGGGGACTTCATAAGTTTTCCGAGGGTAGTCAACTACACTTCGGCGTGCAGTCAATAAATCAAAGCCCCTAATAAATAAAAAGTTAAACAAACATCAACAAAAAATTTATACGATGAAAGAGAGCGGGCAAGTTGAAAGACCGATCAAGGCGAACTCACCATGACCGTTGTGTACGAAAACATTGTTGCGTTGGTGAGGCGAAATATGTGTGTCAGGACCGTAACAAGTGGTAGGTTGTTGAGACAACACTCTATACCACTGCCTACCCCGATGGGACAGGCCTTGAAGTATATTATGTATGATATATAGGTTTTAAGACTTTCGTGGTTGTTCACTAAATGATTATCACTAATATCAGGTTTCTTACCACCCCATGCCTTCTTTTTATTTTCCCGATATTTCGGAACGGTTGCACGCTCCATGGTCACGGGTTGACTGGACGGCGGCAGATGACAGCTTTAAGAGCAGACATATCTGTCTACCCTCTTGCGCTGTCGATGACTACCTTCATCGCGATTTGGTATGGCGTTACCATTGTCACTCACTTTTTTCACACAAACCACACTCACTGTATCCACACGCGAAACTGAACTCGATGTGTTTATGTTTTTATTACTGCATGCACTAAGGACCGGATTCCATGCACTGGACAGTTTAAAACCATCAACACGGTTAAATGTTTTGTATCACAAAGATCGTAAGTTCTATTGGTTAATTTATTTATTTATTTATTTATTTATTTATTCATTTATTTCAGGCAACTAAGGCCCATATAACAAATACCTTACAGACTAACATACATATTATTATTATTGATACATACCTTACAGACTAACATACATATAAAATAATATAAACTTATTAACTATTTACACGAATTACTATTCGGCGACGTGCGACGCAAACAAGTGTCATGTATAACCGCCGGAACATGACACCCTTCGGCCAAAACTCTACCTGCATGAAGGTCGACAGATGGACCGTTAATGACCTGACGACTGAATGTAAGTGTTTTGGATGATGATATGAAGTAGCATGTAAATATTTGTCCGTGTGAATTGGTTTTCTGTGCACATAATGACCGAGTGAACCGTCTTGTCGGACTTTGACCAATACATCCAAAAATGCAAGCGCGCGATTTTTCTCAGTTTCACTAGTGAACTTCATTCCGTTAAGGGTATTGTTAACGCGCTTTCCATTTGAAAACGTCATATGTGGTGTTGAAGAAGCCATTGTGTACCTATAATAGGGTGCCAGCTAGTGATGCTGAAACCTTACGTCAAGACGTGGCTGTAGCCTTGCGACACGCTCGTCTACCACCAAAAAACATGAGTACTCAGGAATTGATGGCTGTAAAAGAACTTAGGGCTGATACAACAATTATAGTACTGAAGGCAGACAAGGGAAACGCCACTGTGATTACGGACGTTGAAGAATACGACTGTAAAATAAAAGTATTACTGGAGGTTGGCATGACATACAAACATGTAACATACAATACATACCGACTGCCAGAGTGAAACGACAGACGGGTGCCATTATTACTGAATGTAGGAGCGCTATCCCAGTTGATATTGAAAAACAACTATTACATCCACATATCGTCCAACCGCCGAGGCTTTATGGTTTGCCAGAGATCCACAAAACTAACGTACCATTACGACCAATAGTGAGTCAGATAGACTCACCCACGTTTGAATTGGCAAAATATGTGTCTCGTACACTAACACGTCTAGTAGGCACACCGAACTCCTTTGTGAAAGACTCCAGGCATTTCATTGAGATCCTAAACTGTGCCATAGTTAACGAAAATGAGACAATGGTTATAGTTATGACGTTGAGTCTCTTTTCACAAACGTATCAATAAAGGAGTGCATCGACGTTATCAAAGTGAAATTTCAAGAAAATAACATCCCAATGGAGATTGCTCAATTACTCGAACATTGCTTAAACACGACCTACTTCCTGTACAATGGCCAATACTACCTTCAGATTCATGGTGTACCGATGGGCAGAAGTCTCGTTGCTCCCATTTTTTGTTGCCAACATTTGGATGGAACACTATGAACACGGCACCATTCTGTCAGCACCATCAACAATAGAATTATGGAAGAGGTATGTTGATGACGTATTTTCCGTAATGGAAGGAAAGGACATACAAAATTATTGCACGTCTTAACAACACCCATAACAAAATGAAGTTCACTTGTGAAATTGAGAAAAATCGCGCGCTTGCATTTTTGGATATATTGGTCACAGTCCGACAAGACGGTTCACTAGGTCATTCTGTGTACAGAAAACCAACTGACACGGACAAATATTTACACGCTACGTCACATCATCACCCAAAACACCTACATTTGGTCGTCAGGTCATTAACCAATAGAGCTTATGATCTTTGTGATGCACACCACCTACCACAGGAAGAGGAGCACGTTAAGACGGTTTTGCGACAGAATGGATACGAAATAAAAACATATAAACCAATACACAAAAGGAAGAAGCAAATTGACGTACAGGGACTATCAGTTTTTCTACCCTATGTCCAAGGGGTGACAGATAAAATAGCTAGGTTGCTAAGGAAGTTTTCCATAAAAACTGTTTTCACCCCCTTAACCAGAATAGGAAAAATGTTACATTCACCAAAAGACCACCTTCCTTTACAAACGCCGGGTGTCTATAAAGTGAACTGCAGTTGTGGGAGCTCGTATATCGGTCAGACTAAACGAACAATTGTCGATCGTATGAAGGAACACATCCGAGCAGTAAAAAACAATGATGAACAGAAGTCGGCTATAGCACAACATCTCACACAGACTGACATTAACAACTGGATCGAGTTGCATAGCCCCCAGGTACTCACCACATACCACGGTTGGTTGGTACGAGAAGCCATCGAGATCACCAAGTACAAAACATTTAACCGTGATGATGGTTTTAAACTATCCAGTGCATGGAATCCAGTCCTTAGTGCGTGTAGTAATAAAAATAAAAACACCTCAAGTTCAGTTTCGCGTGTGGATACAGTGAGTATGGTTTGTGTGAAAAAAAAATGTGACAATGGTAACGCCACAACAAATCGCGATGAAGGTAGTCGTCGACAGTGCAAGAGGGTAGGCAGATATGTCTGCTCTTAAAGCTGTCATCTGCAACCGTTCCGAAATATCGGGAAAATAATAAGAAGTCATAACGTGGTAAGAAACCTGATATTAGCGATAATCATATTATGTATGATGTTTCATTTATTTATATATGTTATATAAACAATTATCAATTTGTTACTTACATTAGCATTGTAGTATATGGAATGACCGGGCGTGGCACCGCTGTTCAACATCGCGTCATAATTTCTATGATCAATGATCAATAGACCTCCAGGTTTTAAGCATTTGGCGAAGTTTTCCAGGCACATTTTCTGCATACGCTGGTCACCATATTCGTCCAGGAGATGAGGGAATGAATTTCCAAGGCAGATAACTGCGTCGAACAAAACGCCGGGCAGGAATCTATGTACGTCTTGTGGTAACGTCTCCCAGTTTGCTTCTTCGATTACTGTTTAGATTAATGTTTTTTTTTGTTGTTAAATAGTCAATGCACATGCATAAATTATATAAAGTTTCTAGTAAGTACCAAGGGATATGTAAACTAAAAAAAATTAAAGAAACAACTTGCATAAAGACTAAGTAAATTTTATGTAGAGTCATTTGGGGTAACAGAGCGCATTGGGTAAGTGTGCACAGGAGTTATATCTCCGGAACGAAGGAAGAGGGGTGGTAGGGGCTTGAGTGGCCATTTAGTTCCGATTTGGTTCTGGTTAACCTTATTTAAGCAAAAATCCGTTTTTGTTGTTAACATCCATAGATTTTTGTATATCGGAAAACAGTGTAGCACCTGTATTTTTTTTATCTTATAACAGTAAATTGTTTTCGTTTTTCATTTATGAACATATTTACGCTATAAGAAAAATTGCAGGTTATATTCTGTTTCAAATATTTTGACACATGATCATTCATTTGCAATTCAGTGCTCTGGGGAAAGTGTGTGCGGGCACGTGTACGCTTATGTTTCCTTGCCCTGTCGTAATATTTTCGTCCATTATATTTGTACAATATTTCTAAAATGTTTTTTTTTATACTTCAGAACCTAATCGTCATGCCGCTGAATTATGCACGAAAAAACCCGAACTTACACCAATTTGTAAGTTTTGATAATAAGTTAATTTTTTCTGGATCTAGATATTTTTTCCATTCATCATTTTTAATATTTTTATATTACTTATAGTAAGTAATACCAACAATACAATTCAAACATATGTAGGTTTTTTAATAAAGAATACTTTTTATTATTATTACATTCATTTTGACTAACTTTACATGTGGCTTTATTGTACCAAGGGTACGACGTTCAGACAGACAAACTTAAGTGACGTTACTTAAAGGATTCGTAATTTGTTTCCGCAACCCTAATAACACGTCTCACAAAAGTCTATTGAGAACGCCAGTACTAATTGAAAAACAGACACGACCTTTTTTAGTGAGTTCGTGTTCTCAAACAATACATACTCCACTGATCGTAGTTGGGATTCTTTCTGTTCTCCCATCGCGCCTTAAGCGCATACTTCAACATCTTATCCGAAGCGTCCACTGACACCACTTTGAAGCCTTCGTCCACGAGCATCATTGAGTCTATTCTGAAATTAAATAAAGCTACGTTAACACAAGAAAAAACCGCCTTCGTAAGCGGTGTTCCGAAATTTGCTTTAAAGTAAACCCTATCGCATGCCGAATACCGCATTAAAATGTGTTCAATCCTTTTCGGGCAAATGGTAACACGCATAATCGTAACAAAGCCACGATTGTGTAACTTATGTCATCGACTCATCATAACAAAGATAAACTTATATTCCTCCGTGGGCGAACGGTTACCGGACTGCCCAAGTTCGATTCCCGGGCCCAGAGAAATACCTGTATGGCCTACATTTATTTCTCTCGTAAGTTTGGATGTAATTTGTGGTTGTCTATGTGTGTGTCCATGGCACCCGCGACACAGGGTTTCCCGAGTGCGGGGCTATGTTGAGTGTGTGCGTTATTAAAAAAAACCTAAAAGTTTCTGATGTGTTCTCGAATGATCTTATGTTCTGTGGTAATATTTTAATCGATATACAACACTACACGTAACTAATAAGAAGTATGAAACCGTAAGAATTTTAATCATTTCATCATGACATGAACCGTCCGTTAATTAAATAACATGTTGTTTCACGTATTATCTCTTGTTATTAGAAGATGAATAACAAACTGAACTGGTTTAAGCTGGATAAAATAACGACCCGATACATAATTTAAATTTTTTACGATAAAATTATTTAATGCTTAATTTACATTTACAGTATCTGTCTAGAGTGGAATAAAATAAAGAGATTGAGTATTTCCATAAAGGTCAATAAGTATATCGAATATATTTTTAAGTATATTTCCATCTAAACTGGCTGAATAAGTTGTTAAAATGTTTTTTTATAGGCTTTAAGAAAAAAAGTATTTTACGAATTTTGATTGCGAGGATCTCAATTTTAAGGTTGAAAGGAATGGGATGCTAAATTTTTAGACTAAAATATTAAAACATTAATAATGTAATATTTGGAGGAAAGGAAGGTGGAAGGAAGTCGGATCAGGTCTCCGAACTGGAACTACCTAGCTGTCAGCACCGTACCCCACCAGGCGACTGAGTGTTATCGATGGAAACAGATAATTGGCAGGGTGAAGTGGAGTCACGATCGGTCATCTATCACAAACTCGAATTTATTTTCCGAAATAACGTTTGTTCGGATTGTCATTACACCGAAAACCGAATTATAACGAAACCTTTGTTCTTTCAAGATATGTTGGATGTTTATCGCAAAGCCTCGATTACATTCGGTTAGATTAGGTTTAAAAGAAAAAACATTTTCCTCTCAAAATAAATTTCTTCCGAAGTTATGAAAATTCGAGTGTTCGTTATTTCTGGAAAATGTCATTTCGAACTACTGATAGGTAACCGTCACGATCCTCAGAAGTGAGGAAGCGATTAAAAAAATGTAATATTTTCGTAATTGAAGAAAAAATAGAATACAAAAGCAGGCAGGTACTTACCCAGTGCCACAAGCAGCATCCAATACCCTCTCGCAACCATGTGTCTTGAGCAAGCCAATTAAAAAGTCCTTATAGTTTTGTGTTCTCTGATTGATGTCTCCAATGAATTTCTTCCATATCCTAGCGGCCTTTCCATCTGCGTATTGATCCTTGACTCCCTCTGAGGGTATACCTTCCGATCGCGCGTGAAATACTTGGTCCGATGACATTCTGGCCTAGGCACTTATTTAAGCTATAAATTAAAATTATTATATTTCTAGAAACAGGCCGACAAAAAGTGTACATGAACCTAGTTGAGCGTAAGACCTTTTATATTTAATATTTTTTATTAAATCTCGACGTTATCATCATTTACTCTATTGATGAAAACGTCGTGAGAAAACCGCTGCTTGTCGAAAATATACGTAAAAATCTACTAAGAGCTTTTTTGCAGTTCTCAACCCGCATAGAGTGTCAGGCTCAACTTCAACACTACACTTATTCGACAAGAGCTATGTTCAAGTTACACACGCGTAGTGGTGGAAATATAACCCAATTTCCTTTCTCCTTAGTAATAATCCGTATCTAGCCGTGTAACCGGTGTATATCAGTACTTACATGTGCCTTAACGTACCGTTTAAAAATCGCACTTATTTATATCAACTTTCTCTAGTTGTATAAAACTTTAGAGAACACGTTCAAGTTATTACTAGAGAAAACATTAAATACGGAAATACCATCTCGCATCTGAGTTAAGTACTAAGGTCTAGTACTTAATAATAAAAATGCCTCACTTCGAGCTTATGTTATCAGAAATGCCAACCATTGCACATTATTAAACGGAACTTCTTATCAATAAATTGAAGCACCTCCAAATTTTTTATGTTCTGAATCGTCAACGTAAACTTTCAGGTTACTTACTTTTATTTCACTATAAGACTTATTAATGATTGTAAGTTTCGATATGTTATAACTGTCTCGCCTGCCATCCAACTGAGTGTTCAAGAAAGAAAAATGCTGATATAAACGGTGTGACCTTCCTGATACTAATACACGTCATTGATGTATGACGGTATATTATGGTATGGCCTGTTAGTTGTGAATTAAAAATATTAACCCTGTAGGCATTACAATGTAAAAGTGCCATTATAAAGTTTTAAAAAGATATAAAAATTAGCCAAAAAAATTTACACGCACTTAAGCACTAACAATTTACTACGAAGTATATAAATGGTAAGTACGCTTTCAAATACACACACCTTTAAAGTCTTTTTAGAATGACTTTACAAACAAAATTAATCTTCGGCTAAACATCTATTCGCGTAGAGCCATTTTATTATAAGATAAATAACTATTTTAAGGGTCATACTTTTCCTAAAAGATCCTCGTTCTCCATAAACACATTGTTAACGTACAGACAATTTAGTTTAAGTGTATTAGAGTCCTCTTATAAGATTACATTATCATTGTAAATTAATAATGGCGAAATTAATTTGAAACTCTCCAAAACATCGACTTTATAGTACTTTGGGTAGTGGTTAGTAGCAGTTGTTTAATTAATTGTGGCAAATCTGTCTTGTGACTTACCTAAATATCCTAAAAGTAGCGTCTACGAAGTTACAATGAATGAGAGCTATACGAACGCCAATGATTCGCTCCTGTATGAGAAGGTGAAGGTTCATTTAGTTAGATTATAGGCTATATACTTATACGTCTTGTTTTCGTCACGGTACGAGAGCCGGTTTGAACAACTTCAATTAACGGATTATTAAAATTCAACAACTCAAACACGGGTTTGCAAATAGTTATCTGCGTAATAAACTCTCTCTAGTGCGTACCACCGCGTTATTACTAACAGATAGATTGCGATAAATTGCGTTATAAGTTTCGGTTGGCTACACGTTTGAATTGGTGTCCTAGCTATCACACAGGCGCTGTTTAGCCGCTCTTCAAACTCCAACCAAACTATGTAGCAGAAGCAGTAACTGGCAGAAGAGATTGTCTTCTGCTACTGCAACTTGACATAAATGTACCTTTGGTTGCGTGTGAACCATATATAAATGGATTAGTTGCTGAGCAGAAAAGAAAACAAATGAGATCAGTAAATATTTCAGACGATACTGATAAAAACCATGATAATTACTATAGAAAACAACCATTGCGATCGCGTCTGCGTGAATGATAATACGCACACACTGTTTTATAAACCAACTGTTACCAAATCGGCCGTTAGTTAAAAAACAAACTGGCACGTGGTGACGTAATCGCCACGTTAGTTGCGAGATGCTATATCGCGCGACGCCGACATGCTCTACTTTGCTTTTGCTATATAAAGGCTCATTATATCAACAGTATTGTTTTTGCAAAAAAAATACAAACTGATGACTGATGATATACTACATCATAAAAACAGATTTTTGTACGGAACACCGAACTATTTAACACGGTCCTTCCTGATTTTTACAAAGGCCGAGTCAAAAAACAGACTCCCAACTTTTGTCCTCTTCTCTATCCTTTATTTCTAAAAGTAATTTAAAAATATGTATAATATTGTTTATTACACATACTTATAAATATGTATAATAAACAATTTATTATTAAATTAAATATTGTAATTTATTTACTAATAATCGAGTAGTCCACGAAAGTAAAGCCTCCCCGCATGATGTAGGTACCATTCCTTTCCTGTACTTCCGGCGCAACCTGGGCTACAATTGGCGAGTACCTTACGCCGTTTGGCAAATACTTCGACCACGATAGCAAGCATTACAGTGTTATGCAATCGATACGATAAGAAGATTCTAGTTGCATCTACATTTCATATTTGATCTTAAGGTTACCTCTTAGAATTTCATACTGAGCAGTACTTACTGTGCCTCCGTGTGCAACAACGACAGTTTTCTCTAATGACTGTGTAAAATATTTATCAAATTGTGCATTGCAAATTGTATGTACATACATACATGCAGCGCACCAAGTGGCCGCAGTAAGAAAAATTTGTTATAACAATATTTTACGTCTTAGTTAGCGACGACTGTCACAGTAAACTCATGCCAAAAAAATCCGTTAAAACTCTACAAAAAAAAATTTGCGAGATACTTAGGGGATGGAAAGTCGAGATACCGTCAACCATGGCAACTTTACCTTTCCCGAGTAATTACCATCCCTCACCTTGCGACACAAATTGATAATGTACATCTTATGTATTCATTAGGGCTTTGATCCCGGGAATCTAGGTCTGGATGTTTTCGAGTCTCGAGACTGAAATTTTCAGTCACGGGAATATCGAGACTTTCGAGATTAAACGGTCTTTGCTACTTACGTAACAACTATAAAAATGAAAAAATAACTTTCGTAAATAAGTTTTTGATTTTATAACTTGAGTTAATAAAACACTTAATTATGATATTACGTTTTAACTGTCTAAATGACTAGCCTATAAGTATAAAAACATATTTTTGCAAAAATTACTTGCATTTATTGAATTTTACGATGTTTCACCACCGTGGCTTAGTTGGCACAGCGTCTGGCACGGTTTGCTTGAAGACGTTGGTTCGAATTCGATCTTTGTATTAATACTTAAAATAAAGTTGTTTTTTGTGTTTACGATAATTAGCATTAGTGCCCGATCCTCCTAACTTTTAATTATAGTGTGATAAATAGGCCATATCGATCAGTGAACTTTACATTATGATGTGTAGAATATCGTCAGTAACGTGATTTTTAGATCTGGGAACGTTTTATTTGTTTTAGAGATGACAAAAGTGTTTGGTAATGTTACCACTTAATAGGTAAGGTTGCAACAACCGCCGCAGTGTCAACTTTACCTATGGATAGGGTTGACACTTTAGATTTTATTTATTTCATTTTGGGTTTAGGTTTTTTTAAACATAGAATTACATTATTTTAAACATAAAATCAGATTATCTTATTTTATACTGTATATTTTTTAATAAACTCAAAATGAGGAAAAATAAAAAATATACAGTTTAGTTACAAGTTCATAGCGGTTTCGGCGTTTGGGATATCATTAACTCAACTGGAGTTACGAATACTGGTGTTCCAATATTTGCTCCTGGTATAAAAATGTTAAATAATGTGTGATAGATTTAATTAAGCAAAAACAAAACTTACGTTTTTTTTCTAATTTACGTTCTGTCATTCTCACCATTCATAAAAAAATTTACTTTGAAAAATAAAAGCTGTTTACGTGTTTCACATTTTGCGGCAATCCTAACCGTAAACAGATTTTTGTATTGACAATTTTACTATTTTTTTTAAATTAATTTATTGCTGGCCATGGAAACAAAGACCTTTAGCCGAAAACATAAACGTTTAATTATATTTCTGTAAATATGGCCACCACAAAGAGGATAGGCAATTTGAGCCGGCGTGCTTGGATTGACTCGGGATTCCTTAGAACGGGCCGATACGGATATTTTAGTTCGAGATTCGTATAATTTCGCGTTTTAATCTTCGATTAAGGCACAATAGCACTATCCTATTCCACTTTAAACTAGATTTCACAAAATAATTGAAAGTCAAAATAAAAACGACACTTTTCCCTCCAAAAGGCCCAGAGCGAATCACAATTTTAGTAGCTCACTCTGTGTTGCCAATTTAAATACCTAAATAGATACTAAATCAATCAGGACGTGCGTGGCCTTAATGGTAAAATTAACTCTACCTTTGTTGCCAGATTACTTTTTTAACTGTATGGTTTACGTAAAATGGGCAGTAGGTAAATTTGCCAAACTTGTTGGTTTTTTAAAAACTTTTTATTCTATATATTCTACAAAAGCTAAAGAAAATAACGCAAAAATAGTTTATAATACTGAATCTACAATGCCTATTGTGTCAATTAAACGTTCAAAGTGCTTTTCTTTGTAATTATTTGGCTATTGACAATGTCAAAAAATGTGATCAAGGTGCCAATATTGACGGTATGTACAGCTTTGCTTTACTGTTGTACATAGGGCGCACTATAAGTTTCCGGAACTGGCCACTTACATAAACAATATTTAAAAAGTAATTACAACATTTGAAAATGGAACTCGTTGGCTGTAGAATACAGTTTGTTTCATCTGACTGCCACTTGTTTTAACATTGTGGCGTCATTTTAGAAATTGGTTGCCTATATCACCATGGATTTAACTCGTGAAAATTTTCGTAGTATGATTTTCTACGACTTTAAGTGTAATTGAATAGCTCCGTCAGCGGAGCTTCGCTCGGCTTCCAACTGCTTTTGGCGTTGAAGCACCATGCAAGACGACTATTTATAGCTGGTTTGCAGAATTCAGACGCGGTCGTGTGAAACTCAGGGACGAATTTCGTGATGGTCGCCCGTCCACTGCTGTGAATGACAAAAACAGACAGGCATGTGACATACCATGAGATTCAAGCATCTCTAAGCATAGGCATGAGTCAAATACTATCAATACTACACAAAAATTTTGGTGTGAAAAAGCTGTGCTCTCGGTGGATCCCATATAATTTGACTGAGGCTCAAAAAACGGATCGTGTCACTTGGTGCAATGCCTTGCTTACCAGATTCACGAAGGGTCATCAAATTTGGTGTGGGATATAGAACAGGTGACGAAATATGGATTTATAGTTACGATCCCAAAACAAAGCAGCAATCGAGCGTATGGGTCTTTCGAGATGAGCCCTAAGCAACCAAAGTGGCGCGCGTGCAAAGTGCCTCTAAGCGGATGATTGCTTCTTTTTTAAATAAAACTGGACACGTGGCTACTGTTGGTTTGGAAAAACGTTGTACCGTGAATACTGATTGGTACACGACCATTGCACCACGATAATGCCAGTTCTCACACGGCCAGACAAATGAATTTTTGAAGGTGAGCAACGTTAACCTTATGAGCCATCCCGCCTACCGTCCCGACCTGGCACCTTGTGACTTTTATTTCCAAAAATTAAGAACCAGTTAAGCGGTCAACGATTTTCGTTACCTGAAGAGGCTGTCGAAGAGTATGAAAAATGTTACAGAGATTGTCACGGAGGAGTGATATAAATGTTGTCAAAATTGGTTCATTCGTATGAAAAAGTGGATTAACGCTAACGGAGAATATTTTGAGAAACAATAAATTCATTTCTGACCATTTATAGTATTTTTTTCTTATTCACTCCGGAAACTTATAGTGCGCAACACGTATGCACATGGAATAAAAATTTTTATATATTCCATATTTTTTTGTAGTAAATTTATCATTAATTTAAATTACCTTATATATGCATTTTCCACCAAAAAGGTGTTAACAAGGATGTCTATAGTACAGTGGACGAAGTTCAATGTGAAGAGCATGTGAAAAACATTATTCTACTATGCTAAAGATTTAAATTGAACTCTGTGGCGATTATGAAAACTGTCCAAAATATGAAGCTTGATGTGGTTTTGACTGTACATTAGCTTAATTGCTAACATTTGGGAGAAATAAAAAAAACAATATTCTGGTATGATATTTACTATCATTTAAAAATAAAGACATTGATTAGTAATATACATTACAGCCACATTTAAACTCTAATACATTAGGCGGGATCTTTAATGGGATCACGGTTTAAAAATAATTATTAGCAATAACAAACATATGAACGGTCACAACTAAGAACAATAACCAATGCCTACTATAGGTAATTGTTCTTAGGGCCACACCGCATATATAAATTTTTTGTGAAAAAACCCTTAACCGACCAGCGCATCTGAATGAATGCGTGTTGTTTAATGCGCGTTCTCAGAGAAAAGGGCATGATGTATGTAAACACTTTATTGTACAACACAAACAAATTACAAATTTTTAACAAAGAAATAGAACGTTATTGTACAAAGACGAGCTTATCCCATAAAGGGATTTCTTCCAGCTAACCTTTAATTAACCCTTAACCTTTGATGTGTATGTATGTTTGTGAAAGCGATCTTACGATTGACAGACTCAAAAAATTATAAATGGGATATACATTATCCTCCAGTGACCGGTCCGGTGGAATCGCAATTGGCGCAACGGATAACATTAACTGCATCACAAATGCCAACTACTATCACTTTATATTAAAAATAAAATATTCGACACTAATCAATTATCCCATTATGTACACAAATGTCAGAACAGACAATACTATGTATTCCCACTGCGATGTGACTATGAAATTACAAATAACGTTGTGTTTTGAGAACACTTCCAAATAATACCATGTGTGATTAATGATTATTCTTTAGCCTTGAATATAATACAAGATATAAGGGCCTTCAAATTAAACGTACAGTAATTTTTAATTTACTAATTGTGACTACAAAAGTGGAGCGCGTATCACAACAGTGGCGCCGCAACTGCACTTTAAACATTGTATAAAAAGTAGTAGTGGCGCGAATGCAGCGCCATCGTGGTGCTAATTTGAAGGCGCCCTAACACGTGTTAGAAACAATCAATGGTCAAATACTTTGCAAGTTTTGTAAAAATATTTAACAACAATAATTAACATAATATCGCACTGTTAATACAATAGTGTATTAACTCAAAATGTGTATTTTTTCAGAATCGATGAAAAATACTCACTTCCTATGAAAGATCATTAAAATGATGTATGAGGTAAAATTTATCACTTACATCTAAACAATTTCGTACTGGCCCATTGTTTTTAAAAATAAAAGGGAACAAAATTAAATAATTTCATATTTTTGAGTAAGGACTGTATGTTTTGGCCAGAAGTAGCTAACATAAAGTTTGTCTCATTTTGGGTTACGTAGATATCTTTTAATTGTTTCTTACAATATTATTGACGGCTTTATTGACGTGTAGATAATGAAATTTTGGTTTCAGCAATGATTTAATCCTGAAATTCACATATTTTGAGTTACAACACTATTGCAATATTAGTGCGATACGTCAGGTGATTCAATAGTATGTGTTAAGTCTGTAATTACTAACTACCTACTTACAATTTTATCAACCTTGATTGAAGGTACACCATGACAAGTGAACCAAGAATACGTTTATTTAACGACAAGTTTACAATACATCTATTATTAGATTAAACAAGTTCTATCTGCGTCATTATTACTATGTAGGTACGGGTATCATACCACGGTTTGTCTTTTTCTTCTAACCGCGAAAACAGAGTTTGCAACCGCTCTGAAATATTGGGAGAAACCTGACAGTCATACCGATTGCAACCTATGACTAATGAAATTAGTCTTAAAAAAGTAAGTTCTATTTGTATAATACAAATATATACACAAAAGGCCACATTCTAACTTAATTTTATATAATTTTAGTATTACTATGCAGGTAATAACATAATTAGTATTCTTCTTACTATGTTCTATTGATTATTCACTAACTATAACCAATGGCCAGCACTATATTAAATTTTAGAACCAATATTCTTGGCTAACTTGCCTAATTTGTGTCACATTTTTCTTACCCTGTCTTTAACCACTTTACGCCGATCTCACATGCCCGCGACATCCGACGCATCAATACCCAACATAGCTAAATCGTCCAGCTCCTCCTTCTTTCTAGCAGTAGCAGCGCCATTTTCCTTTAACCCCTGTTGTTTATTTTGATTTTGATTATTCTGCTGCTTATTTTGCTGGTTATTTTGTTGACTATTCTTCTGATTTTGATTCTTGTTATTATTAAAATTTTTGTCCTTTTGATTAGGTCGATTCTTGTTTCTAGGTTTCGGGCTAGGTACCAGGGGCACGTGAGTGTCGTAGAGCTGCGGTCGGGGCTGGAATAGTGGTGTGTTCAAGTCGAAACCCATCATCATTTGTTGCATGTTAGGCATCTGCGGTTGGAGAAAAGGCGGAAACGGGGGCATGACACCTCCCAGCCCCATTGGGAAGCCTGGTGGGAGTCCGCTGAATAAATCTTGCTGCATCATGTCCGGTTTTACATCTGTAGGGAATATGATATCCAGGGCTTCTTGAAAATCTTTGGGAAGCGCTGGAGTTGTGGGTTGCGTTGTCATTGGTGGTCTGGAAAAGAAATTAATTTACAAATCATTAAATATAATTATTTGTTCACAGTACGTTACTTAAATGGCATAATAGTAAAATTATTGTCATTTATCCGTCCTAAGAAATTTGAATATGTATGTACAATGTAAGTCTTTCGAAGATCTTTTTTGGGAAAACAAATTGAAATAGTAATGTTTTGGTCAAGCGTGAGTTGTACATAAAAATGAATAATATTGACTTTTTTTTAAATTGCTCGACTTTTAATGAAATGTCCGTTACAAGAAACTGAGTCGAAAGTATCGGAAGAAAAAATCGGGACAGGAATACGTCAAAAATAAAATGTTTTTATTATTTTATTTTAATAAGGTTAATAGGTACGTGTGCAAATATCTACTAAACCGATATTATCCTGTTTATCCCCTTTTTTAATATTATTATAATGCAACGTCAAAATTAAAAAGTTAATAATAAATTAATAATTAATAAAAATAAATATGAGACCTTCTGATACAAGTGTTTTCTTACTTAAAAGAAGGTCTCAACCATGTATGCAATTTTGTTAGTATTTGAGACGAAATAAAGTACTAAAAAAAATGAATAAAATTTATTTTTTTAAATGATGGGAATTTCACTCGACTTCTTGTACACAGAACAACTATAGACACCCATCCAAATATAGCTAGCTTCAATATACCTTTTTTACCGACGTATTTTGCAATTCTAACCTATTTTGAACGACGTTCTTCAATAGCCCTGGGCTGGCAATAATCATCAACTACATGCTGGCAAGTGAAGTAGTTTTAAAAAGTGAATGAAGATAAGAGATGTACTAACGCCGCGGGCGGCGGCGCGGTGACTGTGGCTACAGAGGTGGGTGGCAGGAAGGGCAGCGTCGCAGGCACCGTGGCGGGCAGCGCCGCGGACACCGTGGCGGGTACCGTACCGCCCAACGACGTCGGTAACGCGACTACTGGTGGAGGAATGTCGCTGGTCGTGCGCTCCAGCTGCGCCTTTGCGATCTTCTCCTTGAACTCCGCCACCTGCAACCGGCGTTCCTTTGTAACGGTTACTTACTTGTTACCACACAAATACTCTCAAAACTAAATACAGAAACAAAAGCAAAACAAAAAGCATTTGTTAACTTGCGCCCCCAATCAAAACTAATTTGATAAATATGCTATTGTACGGGTACTTGTATCAAATTATGAAAGAAGAAATGAGTGTGTGAGTGAGATCTACATAATTATTACCTTCTTCTGTATCTCAGCATCCATCTCCTCGCGTTTCTTTTTCATCGCTTCTTCGTCCTCTTTCTTCTTCTGTTCTTCTTTCTTTTGCTCCTCCGCTTTAGAATTCTTGCCCAGATGTTTGTACACTGGCATCTTGCCTGCACAAAGACAAATTTTGAAATAAAAAAAATATATATACATTTTGGCTACATTATTTTTGAAATGCAAAAAATTTAAATCATGAATAGAGTGTACAAATCACAGCGATTTTTAAATGAATTCGACCTAGAGGTAAGGGGGTGAATACCTATAAAGGGCATCTTCTTAATGTCAGGCTTCTTGGGTTCACTCCTTGCGGGGCTGTGGTCGTCCCTCCGTCGCGAGTCGCCGCGCCGATCCCTGTCACGATCGCGGTCCCGTTCGCGCTCTCTATCTCTTTCGCGGTCACGGTCGCGTTCGCGTTCGCGGTCGCGGTCACGTTCTCGGTCGCGGTCTCGGTCTTCGCGAGCGCGGGACTCACGCCTTTCGTTTTCTCTGTAAACATATAAACACCATTAATGTATTAGAAAATACGATTCCGGTTTTTCACTAACAAAGGCTGATAATTATATACAATATAGTTGGCAGGTATATAGTCCATATAATCCAAATTGAACTAGATTAAAGAAAAACAGGGAAATTTCTGCATGCGCCCAAAAAAATGTTGACTTGTGACACTATAGAAGCTACTGTGCGATATAAAATACCTGCTCTTGTGCGTCGAATTAATGGAACGTTCACGCGTCTCGCGGTCTGGCGAACGGCGCTTCTCCTCGTCTTTTAACCTGTAAGATTAATTTACAATATTCATTCGACTTTCCAACAAAAAAAAAAGGCAATAAAAGGACACCACTGCAACTGTTGAGACATTGTTATAGTAAAAAAATGTAGTTGCTGCATTACCATTTTTTTTAATATTCTACACTTTTGAATACAACCAAAGTTTAAACTCAAAAACAAAGATCTGCAATAAGCACATAAAGAAATTAGTAAGATTTGCTGACTCATTGGGGGAGCGATAGCCTCGGTTTAAGGAAAATTGTGGTTTGAGTCCAGCCGGACTGAAGGAATTTTTCTTTGCGTATGTTCGATTTGTTTGTTTGATGTCCAAAATGGAAACAAAATTGTTAACAGAGCAAAAAAAATAACTATATATACTAATAAATAAAACGAGTAACCAACCATAGATTTAGCACGTGGGGCGCACTATAAGTTTCCAGAATGAATAAGAAAAAAATACTTTTTTTTCTTTTTTGTTTTTGTTTTCTCAATTGTTTCTCAAAATATTCTCCGTTAGCGTTAATGCACTATTTCATACGAATGAACCAATTCTGAAAACATGTATGCCGCTCCTCCGTGACAATCTCTGAAATATATTTTTCATACTCTTCGACAGCCTCTTTAGGTGATGAAAATCGTTAACCGCGTAACTGGTTTTTAATTTTTGGAAATAAATAAAAGTCACAAGGCGCTAGGTCCTGGTAGGGACTGTACGCGGGAAGGCTCATAAGTCGGCGTTGTTCACCTTCAAAAATTCACTTGTCTGTCTGGTCGTGTGAGAACTGGTATTATCGTCGTGCGAGATGATACGACGTTTACAGTTATTTTTACGGAGTTTGTCAATAACTTCCGGCAAACAATTGGTCGTGTACCAATCACTATTCACGGTACAACGATTCTCAAAGCCACAGTAGCCACATGTCCAGTTTTATTAAAAAAAGAAAGAAGCATCATCCGCCTAGAGGTACTTTGCACGCGCGCCAATTTGGTTGCTTTCGGCTCATCTCGAAGACCCATACGCTCGTTTGCTACTTTGTTTTGGGATCGTAACTATAAATCCATGTTTCGCCACCTGTTACTATGTCCAACACCAAATTTGAGGCCCGTTCGTTGAATCTGGTAAGCATGGCATTGCATTAAGTGACGCGATCCGTTTTTTAGGCCTCAGTCAAATTGTGTGGGATCCACCGAGAGCACAGCTTTTTCTCATGATATGTCACATGCCTGTCTGTTTTAATCATACGGCGCACAGCATCGATGTTTTTATTGTTCACAGCAGTGGACGGGCGACCATCACGAAATTCGTCACTGAGATTCACACGACCGCGTTTGAATTCTGCCAACCAGCTATAAGTAGTCGTCTCACATGGTGCTTCATCGCCAAAAGCAGTTTGAAGCCGAGCGAAGCTCTCCTAAGCTGTTAAATTACACTTAAAGTCGCAGAAAATCATACTTCGAAAATTTTCACGAGTTAAGTCCATGGTGATGTAGACAATCAATTTCTAAAATGACGCCACAATGTTTAAACAAGTGACAGTCAGATGAAACAAACTGTATTTTACAGCCAAAGAGGTCCATTTTCAAATGTTGTAATTACTTTTTAAATATTGTTTATGTAAGTGGCTAGTTCCGGACACTTATAGTGCGCCCTGTGTATACACCTACCACAGATCGGCTCTGAAGTATTGAAGACGAGACCAAAACAAAAATACATCTGCGTGCGTGTAATGTACATGTGTGCAAGATAAATAGTGTTGCGCCTTGCACTGACTCGACCTTAATATCGATTAACATAATACACCGGTAGACATACCGTAGACATACTAAGTGACAACTTAGTCGTATTCACCAAAATATGATCGTGAGTGAAATAGATACTTATATCGTTTAGAGATGCCAACAGCGCAATCCGAATTCAAAAGTAGTGTTACAATGTGTTACCTTAAAACTTACTCGCTTGGCGGCGGAAATAGCATTGTAGCGTTCCGGATTTGAACGGCAAAGGTGCTGGTGAAATTACAGGCACATGGGACTAACTTGTTAACTTATGTCTCAAAGTGATGGGCGCATTGGCAGTGCCCCTCAGATCTTTGCGATTTAAAGCTCTGAGTGACACAGCAACTGTTACGGACAGGCGTGTAGCTTACCATCAGTCGTACGCCTTCTTCGTTCCGTCACTTGATATTATAAAAAACCCCAGGGACTTTTATTAACTATTCATAACCCCACTTATTTTATTATTCATAACCCCACTCTCTATAAAACTGGGGTTATGTTAATTAATAATAATTGCAAAAATTCATGTATTTGACATCTTTTTTAACTGAATTCATATATTGGGTTTGGCAATTGAATGGCATAATTTTACGCACATATTTAGGTTTGTACGTACTTTTTGACAGCTAAAAATTTAAATAGTACTTATATGTGAAATTTACAATTCTGCGAGTTTCCGTTTTTTGATGAGTTTAAATCCGGGCACTGCACTTGTAACCATGAGTAGTAAATGTCTATTTAACACTATTTCATATTACAAAAATTTTTCAAAAATAAACGATATTTGTTTCGTTATCAACTGACACTAGGTTCATACAGGCTCATAGCGTGTAATGACATGGTCTCGTCTACCCGTCTCACTCTACTCGAGCTCGAATATTTTCTTGTGTAGCGCGTTGGTTAGATTATTGTATTTGTGTTGTTGTTATAGTTTTCGTTTACTGTTAATATTTTGTAATAGATCATTAAAATGTTAGAAAATGAGAACATCCTCCTTTTCCAATACCGTTAAATAGAAGTTTTAGCACATCTGCATTCACCTTTAGACAATTATTTTCAGGACGTTTCTTTGTTTACATTTTGGACACCTAATTATGATTCGTACTATAATGGAGTACTTTCACAAAAAAAAATAGTTTTCACTTTGTTTGCATCATGATACTCAATAAAAATTACAAAATATTTTCGATTTGTTACAGATGTGTCGATATGTCAAGCGAGGACGACGTTGTACGTCTCTTACAATCCGTAGTTATGAATGGTATCCCACTAACCTGCCCTTCAAATTCTTGAGACTGTCTAGTAGCTTACGATCGGTCTCGTTCAACTTTTCTGTATGTATAGATGACATCCACTCCGCCAGCGTTTTGTCATCGCCGTCAGCTCGACTTTTCTCCTTTCCTGTAATTTGTTATTGGTGAATTTCTTATATGCAAATTCACCACTAACGTTGTCTTAAACTAGAAATTAAGTTAGCTCCCGGCCTTGGGCACTACTCAAAAAAAAACCAGAACAAAATTGGAAAAGTGTTCTAATTTTGTTCTATTTTCCGGATTCTGGTTTTCCGAATTTGTTCTACCGGGAAACGAACCCAAGACCTCCTCATTTAAAGCCCAGAGTTCTAACTACTTAACCACCGAGGTCGTCTAGGTACTAGTGTAAAGCAGACAACACTAATATAGAAATCTGGACTTTGTTTAATAGTAGAAACAAAATCACAATAACGTTAAATTGGTCATAATAGTAAAACTCACTTTTCTTCTTCTTCTTAGCAGGCTCACTATCAGAGCTGGTAGAATTACTGCTAGAACTGCTGCTACTGGATCTCTTCCTCTTGTTTTTCTTCTTTTTATCTTTCTTCTTCTTTTTTGCGTCAGGTGTAGGTGGGGGGCTCTCTTTGCGTTTCGTGTGGAAACCATCTTTATTGAATGTTATTGTATGAGCGGTATATTGTGGTTGTTTGTCTTCAGCCTTTCCTTTGGAGGCGCGAACTTTCTCGAATGCCTTTTGGCGATCTGACATCCAGTCTGTTTCCCAATGTGGGTTTTGTTCCACAAAGTTCTAGATTGAGAAAATGATTTTTTGTATAATTGAGGCAAATAAGATAAATAGAAATAAGAACTAGGGTGCTATGTGTAGAACCTTCCTGTGTAGGCACTAGTGCCATTTCTATTAGTTCTGCAAAGCTGGATTGTTGTATTCCGAATTGAAGGGAGAGCCAGAGCTACTACAAGTACAGGAAATTCAAAATCTTATCATAGCCGGTGGGTAGTAACTTCCCATCAACCATCTAACTGCTTGTTGGATTGTATACAATAAACAACTTAATATCTGCAAATTTTAATTACCAAATTATGTTTATTTTATCCCTTTTTCTAAATCTTAAAACAATGTGTGTTGATTTGTATTCTCGCCATATTTAAGAAATTAATAATAGAAATAATGCTAAATCAACAAAAATATAAAAAAATAATCTGTACAATATTCTGGCTAATTCTATCCTGTAAAGTATTGCAAAATTGTCCCTAAATCGTATGCACCGCGCGAGGACAGTGACCCCACCACCCGCTTCACCGAGCAATACATAATTTTTCCCTATTTTTAAAATTATGATTATGTACTAGCATTGTTATAATTTCTAATTATTTACATTAATTAGAAAAGTTGACTGGAAAAAGATTTTTGTAACTTAAATTTGGTACTTACCACTTTAGGTTACACGAAAGTATTGCCAGAAGGACCTAGCTCCACGGTGGGTGGCTGGCTCCGTACCGGAGCCACCACCAGCGTATGCATTCGCACGTGAGTTTCGTGTCAACTTTCCATATTTGACTTCACAATTTTGAAAGCAGAGATGATTTTTGTGCGCAATTCTTCGACACTCATAATCTTCTCCGCGTAAACTAAACGTTTCACATCATGCCATAAGAACAGTCACGCACTTGCACTTGATGGTAATGCAGGTTCTGGTGAATCTGGTAGTGGTTCTTTTTTGCACTAACTCTTGTTTATATACCAAACCACGTGGCATGTCGTGAGAGACTAGTTAACAGATCAATAGAATTGCGGCGCGTTCAGCTATCCCACCTTAATCCTTGTGCGTAAGCGAGGAAGCTAGACAGGCGCGTGCGCTGCGTTTGAGAAAGAAAAAGCAATACTTTGCATCCAGCAGGATCAGGTGATTGCGAATCGATGTTTACCGCAATTAAGTAAAAAATAATGATTCAGAAAATATTTTTTTTATTTTTTATTTTTAGTGATTTGGGTTCAGTTTCGGGTAAAGAAATGACCTCTATAATATGGCGTGAATGCAAATCAACACATTGCATAACATAATAAATAACAATAATCGAACAATTAAAGATTTTGCTGTATATCAACAGCTATGTCTTGATAAAGACTGCAAGAACCACCTACTTCCTGTTGCTTATTTAACTTTTCTTCGTGTATAATTATTATTATATATTATGTCCGTATAAAATAAAAATAAATATATAAATAATTCCTTCGATCTGTCTCGACGCGAACCCGCGTCTGTTGCCTCAGCGTGACCACAGACGCTGGTTAGAGTCCAGTTGGACCGAAGGAATTCTTTGTTTTTTCGAACAAACTAGTGGAGTTTTTTCACAAGAAAAAAGTATTAGTAAGGTATTCACTAAATAGATGTTGCAATAAACAAATGTTTTGGTACCGTGTAGTTCTTGGAATGCGTGATGGACTTAAGATGGGCTGATGCGCAATGAAGGTCGCCGATGAACTGGTCGCACAGCTTGCAGTACCATGCCGTAGAAGGCACGAAGAATTGTAATCCTATAAGAGTTAAGATCATTGATTAAATTATCTCCCATAACGTAGGATGCTTTTTTAGAAAAAAGCAATAACAAAATTGAATCGAAAAAGTAAATTCACGCGAAGTCAACTTAGAAATAATAACAGTTATTTGACGCAAGGCTGCAAAGTTGTTGTTTGGCGCGATTGCTTGTATTGAAACTTGAGCAAGCGAAGGAGTCTAGGGTCGTATTCTAGAACTCTACTCAATACTCAAGTCAGGACTTGAGTATTGCAGTGATCACTGAAAATCATACTCAAGTCCTTGCCATTAGGGTCGTATTTCCAGTGCTTGAAATCATACTCAAGTCTGCTCAAATCTTGACTTGAGCATTGAGTAGAGTTCTGGAATACGACCCTTAGATTGAATATTCAAAAATTAAATCCTGAGCGTAGCGAGGGTTTCAAGGCACGAGACGCAAAACAACTTCGCTGCCGAGCGAGTTTCCTCACTATACTGAGGAAACATCTTTTCATCTCACTATAGCGAGGAAAATGGTAGATGAAAGAAAAACAGTTGAACTATAACAAATCAGTTTTTCATCACCGCTAGAATCAGACTGGCTAATGTTTTGTTTCTTTTCAATTTATTACAGTACAATTCAATCCAAAGTATTGAAATTGAAGTGATTAAAATGAAAATTTGAAAAAAATAAGTTTAGTTATTATTAATTAAATTTTTCTTGAATTGATATTCAATTATTTTTTGTGAAATTACTCCACTAGTTTGTTATAATTATTAATACAAAGAACTGTCATAGATTTCTCATAGATGGCGCTACGACTAAAAAGTCGTTGAAAGACCAAGTACAAAGACACGACGCAAGCACATAGAAAAATTCGTGAGGTCCGTTGGTTCGTTCCGTGGCTTAGTTGGTATAGCGTCTGGCACGGTATGCAAGAAGACGTCGGATCGAATCCGACCGGATCGAAGGAATTTTTTCTGAGTGATCGATCTTTGTATTAATAATTAGTTATTATTATTTATTTGTTGAGCATTGGCTATAGAGCCATCAGTTTAAACAAGCAATAAACAATTAAGAAACGCAAAACGTAATAATAATTAAAGTAAAAATTAATTTGTGATAAAACTGTAACTACAAAAACCCGCAATTTGAAATAACTTTAGTTTTAAGTGCGTTCTGATTTTACACCACATAAGTTTTCTTACTCTTTCTATTATTATTTTATACGGTTAGCGAAATTATTTTAGTTCTTCGACAAATTAAAGTAATCCAATAAACAAAATTAATGTTACAGTTGTCAATTTAATGTCAATAACCATACCAATAAATGGACGTCGGCTGTGCGCTAAAAAGTGTCCGCACCTGTAGGGCGTTAAAATCGCATACAGAGCGTCAATCGCGCAACAGTCTTCGTTTGTTCGACTGACAGCGCGGTTGTCAATCATGCAGTACCTACCAATAATAATAACTTTTAAAAGTGACTGCAGTAAAGTGTAGAAACAGGATTTTTATCATATTTTCACTAAACAAATCGTGCTATCATAGTTCTCATTTAAAAGAGTTATTTTGTACAGTTTTATAATATTCAATTTATATATATATAATATGAATCGTAAATGTAAATTACAAAAGCACAACATAATCAAATAGCTAACCGTCCTTTTTCTACACATTGCATGCGCAAAAAATGGAAAGAGGCTAATTACGTTAGTTTCAAGAAGCTTATATAAACTTCTTGGTCGTTTTCAATTGTTCGAACTACAAGCGATTGAAATATTACTATAGAGTTGCTTTGATTTTAATCTTACTTCCAAAATATTTTTTTTTAATTAAACGTTAGCAATAACTAACAAAATATTGTTGTACTCGTTTTACGGCTTGGGATTACCTATCAGAAGTCAGAAAATACATTTGCCCGAAATAACGTTGGCTCGAATTTTCATAATGTCAAATGTATTTTTTAGGAAGATAGAAGAAGCATAAAAATTACTCGAAAGCGTAACGGTTTTATTATAAAGCGGTTTACGGAATTACGGATATTTGAGTTTATTTTTATGTGGAATATCGGTACATTTCTTATAGTACACGCTTATTTTCACGTTTGTAGTATTATTTGTATGTATGTGTGTATCTGCGCAACTCTTTATTATTATCTTTAAGCGAATTAGTTCAAAATTACACATAATAATATAATAAAATATATAAAATTAATTAATATTTACGAGAAAGGCTACACCATTACTCTTGTGTTCAAGTAAGTTTTAGTCGAAGCTAAATATGGTGCATTTTGTTAAGTTTCCAGTAGAAGCTGAATATGGTGTTTTTGGGCCCTTAAATTGTTGCAAGTAAAATTAGGCAATACTGCAATGACGTTACAATTTAAATTAAATGTTTTAGTTTTTTATATTTCGTTATATGTCACTACGTTTGTATAGGTTAACTTCGGATATTTTTTTCGTGGTTTTGTATTAGACCCGATGTCCATTTCTTGGTATGTCAATGCCAATAACAATAAGAATAAATTATAGCAACAGATTATTATTATTATTATAAATACTTATTGTACTTAAGACGTATCGCGTTTCGGAACAGGTCACTATTTCTTTATAATCAAAAGAAAAACTTTATCTTCGGATGCGTTCTGAATTTGCATCTCATCAATTTTTATTCCTGCTTGTAAAGTCAAGAGCACATCAACCTTGACACTTTGTACTTTGGACCCTTCATATCGTAAGCGGCATAGAGTTGGATTTAAAAGTGTAAAGCTTGACGTGCTCTTGACCCTGTACTTATAATTTTATGTGATTATTGAAATTATTTTAGTTCTTCGACGAATTAAAATAGTTTAATAAACAAAATTAGTTATCGTGATCAATTTAATATCAATCATAATCTGAAAAAAACCCAACGGATCTAAATTACATAAATAATGTACGACAAATCACGTAGATGAACGTGTCATTATGAATTTTTTTTCATCGAAAGAAAAATTTAGGTGCACCCTACTTAGACTATGGAAACCAAAGAACATGTTATATTGACATATATAAATCAGACGTTATATGTCTAAGATGCATTTAGACGTTGAAAACATAAACATTTTATTGGCTTTGTTTAACTACTGCGTGCCGTCGTAAGTCAAAAGAGATAGCACTACATTGATTTATGTCAAACACGGGAATCGAAAATACGTAACGTCATCTTAAATGCCAAATGTCCTCATTTTACCACTTCTGGAGTACCCTTTGATAACCGTTTCCGTTTGTCAAAAGGAAGTACATCAAATGTCAAAACCAATGTTTGGCCAAATGTTTTATTGAATTATTCGCATGAATTGTAATGAAATGGACAAAAATATTGACAGAGAGTGAGAACAATTAAGTATTGATTAAAATGCGTCTAAAATGCGTCGCTGCAGCATTAAGGGGTGCGGCAGTAGAAAATCGGAAATCAACCGAATGTTACATTACATGTTACTTTTCTGCATATAAATCATACAATAGCCCAAATATCTCATGTAATTAGACTCATTCAAGTAGTTTATTTATAAGTCTTGCCGAATTTTGCTTTGGTTACTTTAGATGGACAGTTTGTAGTTTGTTTGTTCTAGTAAGCAAACATATTATCGATATATATTGTTATTAAAACAATTCACTACGAGGTTTTTATTATTACATTATTATTATTTTTAAGGTTTACCTACAAATGAAAAAAGAAAGAAAGAATGGTTGGAAATTATAGGACTGCCGAACATAAACATTGGACCAAATACCATCTTCGTTTGTACGCTCCATTTAGAAGTCAAATTTTAATAGGACTTTGAAGTAATAGAACTTTGAATGTAACTAGATTACATTATAATGCAATTCCATCGCTACATTTATTGGTAAATAACTTTATATTTAATTTTGATTAAAATGGCTCATTACTTGCCTAGTAATAATAGCATAGTATTAATCATACTTTGATTATAGTAAACTATATTTGCAAGCATAAAACACAGTTTCAACATTCAAGCCACACTTTTGCATGTCGATATTGACTTATCTATGATTATGGTACAACACTAAATACGCCATTTGTGGTGGACATTTTTGGTTTAGGTAGGGACGTTTATACCGTAGATAGGGCAGCTCCTTTCCTTTATTTTTTTCCATCCTCTAAGGGTGCACCACAGTCCGTCGTCAGGTTCGAATTTCAGAAACCTTTTCCACGCTAGCGTGCAAAAATTGCTTTTGCGCGCACATTTCTAATGAGAAAGAAAGCCTTTCCAAGCTAGTGAGGAAAAAAGTTATTAAGCTAATCTATTAGAGAGCCTATGCATTCACCGGCACAGGTGATCTTATGTGTCATAATTAGTTATTTATTCATTTATTTTAGAATTTAAAAACGGTACAATTTTCTTAACATAGTCCTACAAAACTGTACATACATATATGCCTTGCCTGCAGGATATAAACGAGTCTCAATTTGAACAAAAGGTTACAATATATAAAATAACTACTATTTAACAAAAATTGGTGAAATACTCTTTCAAATTTTTTTTTTAATTTAGATTTTTTGTTTCATGTCTTATATGACCTCTGGTAAGCTGTTTAATGGGTATGGAATACGTATTTCAAGGTCCAATCTCCATAGTAGTTAGCGACTCTTGAGATTAAAAATTTACCCGAGGTCGTCTCCCGACTGATTTATTGTAGTCACCATTACACTTTACTTTGTTTTTTTTTGTTTATAAGAACTATTTACCTGGATCTGTGTAGGCGGTCTTCTTGCTAAGTGACACTTTTTCCAGGCAATATTAATATATAAAATTAGAAGATGGATGCAAATTGAAGTATTTTACCTTTGATGGGAGTCCGTTTCGTAGGTGCGGAAGGATAAGAAGGAAATCCTTCGTTCATTCCTGTTACGGTGTGCCATGGCGCTTCCATGTGGGCCGCAGCCATTCTAGGTATAGACAATCTGTTTAATAATACTAAGATTTTGACAGGAATACGTTTATAAATTTTAACCTTATAATGTAAAAATATTTTTTCTACCTTCTTTTATGCTACTAGGCATCCCCTCTGAAATCGTTGAAGGGTCATTATCTAAATGATAAAAGATATCTTCAACGCTCAAAATTGCTGGAATCCAATATAGAGGGCGTAGCAGTTACAATAATTTTAAAGGGTACTTCATATTTTACACGTAACATTGAAACTGATTGGAAATGAAAATATTTTTTCGAACCTACATCGCGCATTTGTTTTTTCAGACAAAACAACGTGTCCAACCATGCTGTTTATAAGTCCCAAAGTCACGACTGACTTGGTCGCGCGACTCAATCAAATATACACACGATTTAGATCTGAAAAATTTGTTACATTTTCAAATTAGATGCGTATAGAAGCGCGGCAGTGGCGCTCCACTATTAATTTTCGTACAATATTTATAAGCGCAACATTCGCGAATATCTAAGAACTCTATATTGTATCCTAATTTTTTTATACTGAATATAAAGGTGTCAAAACACCATAATCAAATTTTCAAAATAAATACTAACTTATGATGCGCAGGCGAGTGCAGATGGTTCAAGTAATCCTTAGCAGTGGGGGGAAATTCATTGCATACTCGGCACCAATGCATTTCGGGATCGTAGTACACGTAGTTGAACTTCTGACCCAATGACGGCGACCTGTAGGAAGATTTACCTCTCATTATTTACACCATAGTCTTTATTATCATCGTATGTAATACAATATGACGTAAGACAGTACAAATCAATTTAAATGTATACAATATTAATTTAATCAAGGCCAATTTATCATTATATGTTAAGTATATAACATTTTTGTATAGGCTGCAAGACGTCGAAAACAAGTATCATAATTATATTTTTTAAAGGCTATAATAAATTATAACCATTGTGAAAAATCGATCAATTATATATTTTAGTAAATTATTATATAATTTTATTAGTAAATTATAGTCGTAAAATAATAAAGGCACGAACCGTTTAGATTTGCATCCGTAACTACTAAACAAAATTCGCGGTAAGCGTTCCAGAAATATGCATGAAAATATTAAGCACTGCACTTATATTAAAACACCAACACGATATTATGTTTTCTTTGTTACAAAACACAGCAATTAAATAGATAACAGGTAATGAAAGTCGATATGAGTAAAACTTATTTAATCAAACATCTTTGTAGTTACATTCCTTCTACAATGGTACAACTTAATTTACAAAGTCACAATATATTTTATAAAACCTTAAACACTAATCAATACACAAAGTTGTAATATTGATCACATAATTTTTCTTATTATATACGTGAGTTCTTAAAAAGCAACAAGTTCCATACATATTTATATGCCACAATATTACTTCTTACACAATATCATTTTGTTTCAGTGTCTAAGGTAGCATGAAACAAATATTAGTCAAAAGCAGATTTCTTCAAGCTCCCCTTAACCATTTCTCCTGCAGTTTAAAATCACTTCTGTTGTTAAAGCAAAACCGTTGCGGCGCCTTCACGAAAATCCTGCTTAGGAAGAAAGTCAAGGAACAAATTTACCTAAATAATTACAAAGTAAGCAAACTAGTCTTGTTGAACTCTAAAAAGAATCAAACCATTTAGGTGAGGCTTTTGGTTATATGCAAGCCAATACGACAAGCAACATAGTTTGTAAACAAAAATATATGCACAATTTTAAATAATGCCTTTGGCATTTAATAACAGAAAGGGCCATGTAGTTGAACAAGACTAGTAAATAAAAATATTGCAAAAAAAAACACACCTGGATTTTCTCTTAGATCTGCGTTCATCATCTAAGTCGACCTCCAGCGGAGGTATCTCCTGAGCCTCCTCGCCGATAATCCCATTCAGCATGTCAACCACGTTGTTGATGGTCTTCAACTTATTCTGTATCTCCAACTAAGAATAACCGCATATGCAAGTTATTAGAACAAATTCTCAGTTGTGTAGAAGCTTCATATGCAAGCAGTCAATACACAACTTAGAATCAGCAGATAAACTAATCACATAAATGCCTGTGGCTATGACGGTAGCAAACCTGTAACTTTGTGTTCTCCTTCAAGAATCTCTTAGTATCGGGACTCGGAGATCTCTTAGCATCACCACGAAGTTCATTACGTTGGTCTTTCAATGTGTCCAGTTCTTTTTTCAAGATGCCTGCTTTCTTCATGTAGTCTTCGCGCTGCTTCGATAGAGCGGCCTTCTGGTGGCGCATTTCTGACTCTATCGCAGCTGCGACAATGAAAATTTAGGTGAACTACCATATCACAAGTAAAATGAACATAATGCCAGTTAATCATGCTCATTTCCAAAGACGATTAAATGAGTTAATAAGTTCACTGACTAATTGATAAAAAATTACAAAATAATTAAATGACATTACGCTCACAGACAAAGCAATGTGAAATGTGTTTCATATAATTTAGCAGACAGGCCTGTTTTTACAATAATGGCAAAAAAACAAATGCTTTCATTTCTAAATAAAAAAACTCTTCGTTATGATAGTCCAGAGAAATGAATATTCTTAAAAAAGGCATTTCATGATATTCATATCAGGTAATTGTGAGAGTAAATGTTAAGGAAACATTGGTTCCATAATGTAAACCTGAAAAAGACAATGTTAATTACTTAATTATAGAATGACATATAAAGCATAACTATGTGTGCAAAACTATCACCAAACCAACCTGAATTTAGCAGTTTAGTCAGTCTTTCCATCATTTTTTTTTCATCACTGGATTCAATACAATGGTCAGTCTGAGGTATAGAGCACATGCAAACCGAATTAAATGTAGTTGCTATCGAAATGTAATAATATTTGATTGGACATGCCTATAAATAATATTTTAATGACAAACATGCAAAATGAATAATAAATAGTATGAAAAAGAGTACCACATGCATCCTTATAATTATGCTCTTCTTGCAATGTTTGCTTGGTCTTGAAGATGTAATTTCTCAGAAGACCTGCATCTTTTCGCAATGATGTATTTCAAGGGTAGGGAAACCAATTCCTATATTTGTAATAATACACAGATAACATTGAAATAGCAATATTTAGAACTGAAAAAATGCCATTTAAAAAATATTAACATAAATTTCAACTTTTCTATAAATCTCTTACGTAGGGCATTACCATAAATCATTGTATCTTTGAGATAAATATTTTTCATCAATTGAATTATTCATGCACAATACACAGAAGTTTGCAAACATGTTTTAGCGTTCACTACAAAAAGTTAAATTACAATTAATACCTACCTGTGTTGTGGAACATTAGATTCATTGGGAAGAATACTCAATGCCTGTAAGGAAACGTGAGAAATTACGTAAGTACAATTAACAATATCATGACACATACCTTCTTTTTTGAGCTGGTCTTCTGAAGAGAGGATGGGCGGTGGGGGCGCCGTGTTAGGCGGTGGTGGCAGTGACATTTGGTTCCATACAGCCATGTCTGGAGGCAGCGGGGCAGGGGGCACTGAGGATAGCGGTGGGAAGTCATCGTAGATACCCGAGTACGATGGCTGGTAGTTGGTATTGTAATTTGGGTTCACAGCCTGAAAAGTATAGTAACATATTCCATATGTTTAGTAATTATAGGAAATTGTGTTCTGAATGGTACAAATTGTAAATTTCAATCAGTAGCAATGTTGTTATTACACAATTTGCATGGCCCCTGGGAAAAACGTAACCAATATTTGTTGTTACGTCTGACGTACTTATCGTTTAAAATGCAACGCTGATTCATAGTGTAAATGTGATAGAATCATACCTCCGGTTGGAACTGCGGCGGCGGCGGAGCACCGGAAAAGCCGCCTTCCTGAAACTGATTATCCCAAAGCTCGCTAGGTTCAGGTAGTTTTGATATCTCACTTAAAATGTTCTCGTCTATTAAATCCTTGTCAGTTTTGCGCGGGGGAGAACGGCTTCTACGTTTATCAATGTCGTTCCTTACAGGGCTCCGGCTTTTCCGAGGCATAGGCAGACGACTTCTGTAGTCCGGAGGACGATTCCAGTCCCTATCACGCTCTCTATCGCGGTCGATTGCGCGATTTCGTGGGTCACGGCTGAAATAACCTTTTCTACTAGGTTCACGAGACATGTTAGTAACACTCTTCAAAAATTAAGATTTCCACCTCAGGCATTTACAAATGATTACAAGCGGTTTACAATTATAGGGTCTGAAAAAAACACCACGCTTTGTTTAATTTTTTTTTTTAATTTTTTAAGGCTTTGGCAAAGCCATCAGCCTAAACATGAAGTTTAATTATGTTTCTGTAAAATATGGCTGCCACTAGACATGGAATAGCGTTACATTTCTATCGCCGTGACTGTCGTTCCGGTTCCAAAAAAATCACAGTGAAAAATCATCGTGATTTTGTCACGACTGTTACTTCCGTGACCTTGTCACGCCTATAACTTACATCACGATATACAGTTTTAGCCAGCGGCTTCTTTTATTTCTAATACTTATAGCCGTTTTTTATAGAATGATTTGTTTAAGTTTTTACTCCCTTTGTAATAAGTTTCAATTCCATTCAAAAAGTTGATTTTGTATTTAACGTAATTTTGTTTGTTACTTATTTAATGCAAATCTTTGGATTGTTAAAAATAGCAATAAAGTGTAATGCAATTATATTTCTAGTAGAATACACAAAGTAGATTATACATAAATATAAAATACCAACTCTTCCTATAATAAAACTAATATACAAAAATATTTTACTTTGTTCATAAATAGGTTTATAATAACTGCTGCCGATTTTTTTCATCCGCCTTTTCTAGTAGTTATAAGCATCTACGACCCTTCTGAGTGAGCAAAGAAAGTCATCCTATTTCATCACTCCCATCGCCGAAATGGCCCGATTTGAAGAGAACTACAACGAGTGGCGCGCTCAGTCACCACGGAACGGAGATCGCGCATCGTATCAAATACGTATGTCGTGATGTGAGTGACGTGGATAGCTATTGGAACGGAGGAACACCTATGTGACTTTGGAACGTCGTTCGGTGATACTGTTTGACGGCAGATCATCGTGATTTTTTCATCGTGACGTTATTTATCACCCACCTCTAGCTGCCACAAAGAGGATAGGCAATTTGAGGCGGCGTGTTTGGATTAACTCGGGATTCCTTAAAACGGGCCGATACGGGTATTTTAGTTCGAGATTCGTATAATTTCGCGTTTTAATCTTCGATTAAGGCACAATAGCACTATCCTATTCCACTTTAAACAAGATTTCACAAAATAATTGAAAGTCAAAATAAAAACGACACTTTTCCCTCCAAAATGCCCAGAGCGAATCCCGCTTTGTTTAACAATCCATTCAACGTTGCCAATGCCAATTGTTAAAAATCCCCAAAATGTAGGTTAAAATCCCCACATTTGGGGACAGCAATCCATATTCCCCACAAATTCCAGCCATCTCGAATTTTTATTATTTATTATAAATCCATCGCTTAATCAGTCTTTGAAAAACATAAATAATCTTTCCTAGCCTGTAAAATTAAGTAACTTAATTAATTACGAGTACACGGAAATAATTGCGCATTTGAAGGCAGATATCGTTGTTCTTCATACCGAGGAGGCCTAAGCTGGCGTAAGTGGGAGAAAGGGTCGCGCACTCAACACGCACCAATTGCTAATTTTACAATCCAGAAATAAGTGTTCTGATCTGATCCTACTCCATAATTCTATGTAAATAAGTGGCTTGCTAATAATTCTTTATATATCTTGCTATTTATGCGGAAGATGTGCGATGTTGAAAAAAATATCTTTATAAATATATTTTAAGTAGCAGTAGAGCTCCTTGCGAAAGAGTTCGTCCAGGGAAGTACGGCCACCTTATTTATTTCTGCCGTCAAGAAGTATCGGGTTATTACTGCGGGTATATGAGACTTGGCAACTGATGTCTCAGGGTGACAGATGTAGTGGCAGTATCCCTCAGACTTTTGCGATTTAAAGCTCTGGTACTGCAAGTGCCATTGACAGGCGTAACACTTAGCACCAGGCACACGACTTGTTCATCCCGTCACATGGTATCATAGAAAAAAAGTCGATATCGTTCATCATAGTGTTTTTGTTAGTAAGCATAGCGACGCATCAGCAATTGAAAGATCAAAACAAAATGATAAAATGTAGGAATCCCTGTATTTTCCCTATATAGCGCCAATCCTCACGAAATCCCCAAACGAGTTGAAGTTCCCGGGAATTCACTTCAAATTGGCAACACTGAACAATGCGACAACAGCAACCATGGCTGTATTTTTTTTTAATGTAGACAACCAGGCCACAGATAAGAATATTATGCCTGTTGTGTAAATCTGCAACATTTCAAATACTTAGTGGAAATTTTTCCGGAAAACTCTTGGAAAAATATTGAAGAATATTGGAAAAATGTAGTTGAAAAGCTCATATTATGTTCTCCGGTTAGAAATATCTTTTGAAGTTTAATTTAGGGTGAATTATAAAATAATATTGTATAGCTAGCTAAAAGCAAGTTACAGAAAAACGAGATTTTACAACAGTTTTAAAATGATTGGACAACAGCAAAATAAAAATTTTATAATGTTTTTAAAAATTATCCGGAAAAATTTCCGAAAAATTTAAGGTTATTATTATGTTTGTTTAGAAATATCTTTTAAAGTTTACTTCAACGTGAATTATAAAATAAAATTGCATAGCTAAAAAAACGAGATTTAAATGATTGGTCAGCAGCAAAATAAAGTCTTTTTATTGGCTCCATCGTTTTCGTTCAGTATCTTCAACTTTTGACAGGTGTCAACGTCAAATGTGGGAAAAATAAAGGAAAAATATTCGGAAAAATATTTACTTTTCAGCATTTCTTATTTATTTTTCCACATTTGGCATTGACACCTATCAAAAGTAGAAACTTTTGTATGAAATTTTAAGCAATTGTGATTTTTTCGCTGATATCCCGTTCTCGTTTGTCTCTAACTTGCTTTTATATATACAATTTTATTTTGTAATTCTCTCTAAATAAAACTTGAAAACATTTCTACACGTAGTACGCAATTCAAAAAAAAAAATCCGGAAAAATTTCCACTACTTGATTTTTTTCCGAAAATTACCCAACAGTATAATAATTTATTACGTACATAAAATACGCATAGACAGTGTACGTCTTTTCAAATTTAATTTTATTTTCGGAAACTTTCATAGCCATTTCCCATCAGTTATTTTTATTCTGTTTTGAACTATTCTTGTGATTTTATAATTAATTGTCTACTTCGGAGAAATTAAGTTTTTATTTATTTTTTATATTGCAGTTAATAATTTCAATTATAATTTAGTTTCGGTTCCGTCCAAACATTTATTTTAATAGTCCTGTGATTATAGATTTAACTAAACAGATATAAGAACCATATACATATGTTGAAAAAGATTGTTGATAACAGATTTAATAAAAATATTCTGCAATAAATAAATAATTTTCATTTAAATTCATAAATTCAAAAGTGCCCCAAACAAAATAAATATACATTTTACGACAGACATTTCTCGCTACACTAACTAGAAAACAACACATGATCTTTAAACAGCTGAGAAGATGTTCATCCAACATCAACAGTCTACTCGTTTGTTAGTTACGATACAAACACAAATGCTTCAATCTTATAATTCCCCTCTTTTTGCGTAGGGGGTTAAAAAATAAAGTTTCATAGATATCAGCCAACAGTTATTTGAAAATCTGTAACATCAGATACTATATGACTTTCCTATATCAGTTTTCTGGATCATCATCATCATTTCAGTCAAAAGACGTACACTGCTGAATATAGGCCTCGGGATGGGATTCGTTAATACCCTTAGGCTGCCTTTCTTTCTGTTCTTATCCAAAAGATCACCATCACCGTGTCTCTCAATTCATTTCTTTAATTCGAACTCTATCTTTTATTTTAAGAAACATATACATCCTAATATATAATAAATTCTAACAAATAGTGTAAAGTATCTAAACAGAATTTTTACTCGTTAAGATTTGAGTCGCGACAAATATTTGCAAGCCCCCACTCGTGAGACGATTGCGCGATCTGAGAGTTTTATCTAGTTTGGGCGCCTCGCAGCTCCGCGCGTAATTGTCAAGCCATAAATAATCTCAGTACAGAGTCCAAACAAAACCGTCCTCAAAAGTTCGCCAAGTTTTGTTGAAATCAGTTACCGGAAAGTGCGCAAAACCGGATTCATCCCCAAGTTATACTATACGGGACTTAACACAGGAGATAACAAAAAACGGTGTTCACTGCTTAAGTATATTCAATTGTAGCATAGCAAAATCGACCATTAAAATAATTGCTTCTTACAAAATTTTGCGCTATTTATAAAAATTAGTCTTCATGCGTGAACATTCTGCCTTCCGTTGGAAACTTGCCTTTCAACCAGTAATACTAGCTTCAGGAAGTGAACAAATTTTTGAAAAGGATCTTCTTACAACTCCCGTAGAAGTTTTGATAACGGCCACTCTATTGACGTCATCAATGGTAGGCAACACAGCTACAACTCGACTCAATTTTAACTTAATTTTTCTTATTATCTCCTGGTTCAGGTCGTGTATAGTGGCGAACTAGGGGATATTTTATTTATTTATTTATTTATTTGCAAACAATGTAGGTACAAAAATTACATAGGTAATAAGTACATACATACCCCTTTGGGGTGCAGCAATTAATTATTATTAAACGTAATATTAAAATTGTAAAAATAAAAAATAATAGCAAAAAATAATAATAATAACATTTAGGAACTAATACATATAGGATCTTAAAATTATCATTAATAAACTTTAGATCATAGTATTACATAGACTTAAAATTACTTGTCTGAAACTGGACTCTTTTAGCTTATAGGAGAGTTCATGAAATCTCCCACATTGTAATAACATTTACTTAACAAGAGAGACCTCAACTTGGTTTTAAACACGTTGTCACTATCTACTTTCTTGAGGATGTCTGGTATTTTGTTATAAATTAGTATGCATCTATATAGCGGGCTATCTCTAAACATTTCCAATCTTGGAGTTGGTAATATGAGCTTTGCGTTTCGACGTGTGCTTTCCACGAATTCAAAAAGATCCAAATGTTGTCTTACAAACATGGCAGTTTCCAAAATGTATATAGACGGAAGAGTTAAATTTTTTTCTTTTATAAAATGTGGCCTGCATGTATCTCTCGGGCGTATATTGTTTATGATGCGTAGGCATTTCTTTTGTATGATAAAAATATCATTTGCGTCGGTACTATGGCCCCACATAATAACGCCGTAGCGTAGCCACGCATAGGCATATGCATAGTATGCAGAGAGTGCACATTCGCGTTTGGTGTTGGCTTTTAGTACGGTTAGTGCGTAAATAAATTTGGACAATTTAGACTTGATCGTTTCAATATGGCTTTTCCAATTTAAATGTGAATCTAATGTTATTCCTAATAGTGTAAAAAAAATTTCAATAAAACTTGGCAAATAGACGTGATTCCACGTACTTTTGAGGTCAGTGTTTTTAGAACTCTGTACTGAGATTATGTTTTCAATATCTCTTCAAAGTTGAAATGTCAGGGTACATACATATAGATTAAATCAAATCAAAACACTGTATGTAAGTGATTTCACAGTATATTGGTTCGACACGGCAGCATACCTCTTGCTTCAGCTGACATAGTTCGTATGGCAAATCCAAAAAACGGCCACAAGTATGTGTAGTTTTGTACAAAACTTGTTTGTACAAAATTGGTTTGTTTAAAATTTTGTAAGTTCTACAGAGTTTTGAGGTTTCAAGTTAATTAAAAATGGGTCTGTATGTGCAGCATTCATTGTTAAATATACTCGTAATAACAGATATTCTTTAGGCGCTCCAGCCTATGTCCACTATGCCTTGACTCCGTTTAAAGTGAGCAGTTGGAAACAGATCGAGAGATCTCCAATCTTAAGTTGATCAATCGTTTGGAACCGCGTTAATATAGCAACTGTCTGAGTGCATGTTACGGGATTTATAAAGGAAAGATTTCCGAGGACATGGTCGTATATGCCTCCGTTACAGTTCCATTGTGGCACCAGTCGCCGTGGAGGCAGTTGTCACCCGTACTACGTGAACGCAAGGCGTTCTACCAATGACGGTACGTTACGTACCGCGTAAGTGTAATGAGCTGCCCGCTGAGGTCTTCGCATCCGCTATTATATGGGGTCCTTCAAAATACGCGCGTGTATCGGTCTTTCTGGTCAGTAATGCATCGTAAGGTTTCTGATACTGCAGAGGTCCATGCAGAACGGTGACTACCTACTTACTATTAGGTAGTGAGCCTGCACGTTAACCCTCCAATATATACACTACATACTTACAAGTTTCTATACAATTAAGTGTATTAAAAAAAATAAGGCACCAAAATATGAGCAATGTGTAACTTACATTCGCTTATGATCTTTGTTTTGAACAGCTTGAGTGGTCATTACAAAATATTGTCTTTAGATACACTAAACAGCTACGCAACCGCCGTAATTTCGTGACCCAATTTACCTGAAACATTTTATAGTAAATACCCATGACAATGAGTCAACATAGAGTGATTAGGTACTGATTACATTGAGTAACTATGGCACCGTTGCATCTCAGTACGCAGAAAGTTGATTGCGATAATTTCGGATTATTTGCGTTTGACTGACCGTCAAGGCTATACAAATGCATTTAAACCTCAGTTAAAAGTGATTTAAGACGGTGGTAGTTTTGTTAGATCTCTACTCTATTGTTATAATTTACAAATATCTATTTTTTTAGTTTATTCTAATGTCTATTAATAATTAATAATAAATTAAACTTAATAAAAATTAATTTAATAAAATAATTTGTAAAACTTAATGTAGCGTAAATTGGAATGTTTTCTTTGTAAAATTAAAAATAAGGTATTTAACTTAGAATAATAACGCATAGAAACCTAGCCCGCACACGCTAAGTGAGGCAAGTTAGAGGGTTCCAAACGCGTCCCAGGAGCGCGCGGGCTGTTAGTGCTCAAGGTCATATTGCACCGCGAACAGCTCCAAAATTTTTTGCTAAAAATGACGAAATGTGCGGTAAATGGGTGTAAAAATACAACAGACAAACATAAAATAGACACTAACATCGCATTCCACAAGTAAGTAATGCGTTTCAATTCATATTTTTATGTAAATATTCACTAAAACAGAAAAATAATTTCGCGGCAACAAGATACGAAAGTGTTGCAAAGTAACGAATTTTTTTTCTCCCCATTTTGCTATTCTGTATCAAAATAATTATATTACGTAAATTTTAGTGGTGCCTGTAATTTAGATTTATTTGCGCATCTTGAACTAATATTTACTTTAATAAACATTAAATGTTTTCGTTAACTCCTGTAAGTGATTGGGACACTTAATTATTTTATAATACTTTTAACGGCTCTGCGTTCATGCTTTATTGAATAATTATTTATATTAATTTTATTTGAATTGGAGCACATATTGCAACAAATTTACAGTATATATTTGTTTCTACTATAGTGTTGGCACCACCAGTACAACTTTGATAGCTTATTATATGTCTTTCTTTTCGTAACTCAAGCGAAATATTTTATATTAAAATATTTTATTTTCTTAAAAGGGGAGCATTCTTAAGCGATTTTTTAATCTATTTTAACAGTTATTTTCTTTAATGTTTGCTTATGGCATTTTCGGTTTTAGGTTTCGAATATGGCACTTATTTCTAAATCCAAGATGCGGGCGCGATTTTTCGAATAATGGCAAGTTGGGTATCGTTTTCGAGATGTTTGGGAATGTTCAATACAAATATGGCACTCATTTCTAAATCCAAGATGGCAAACACGACAGTTCAAACAAAAGCAATATTCGTAATGAGCACCCCCAAATACCTCGAAAACGATACCCAACTTGCCATTATTTGAAAAATCGTGCCCGCCATCTTGGATTTACAAATAGTGCCATATTCACATTGAGCATCCCCAAATACCTCGAAAATGATACCCACATAGCATTTTTTTGAAAAAATCGTGCCCGCCATCTTGGATTTAGAAATGAGTGCCACATTCGTAATGAGCACCCCCAAGTACCTCGAAAATGATACCCATATTGCATTTATTTGAAAACTCGTGTCCGCCATCTTGGATTTAGAAATGAGTGCCATATTCG